GCCCCGGCCGGCCCCGCGCTGGCTCCGGTTCAGCTTGATGATGTCGTCCAGGGACATGTCCATCTTGTCGGCCATGATGGCGGCACCGCTCCCACCCGCACTTCCGGCCGCGCTGCGCCCGCGCCGGAAGCGGAAGGGGCGGGGCGGAGGCGCGGGGCCGTGAGGGGCGCTTCCGGCGGGGCCGGTACCGGGGGATGCGGGTGCGCGTGCGGAGCTGGCACGGAGTCGCCTCCTGGCTCTGGGTGGCCAACGACGACAACTGCGGCATCTGCCGGATGGCCTTCAACGGCTGCTGCCCCGACTGTGAGTGCGCTACCGGCACCGGCGGCGGGCACTGCGCACCGGCCGGGGCTGACGCTGTGTCCGTGCCGCAGGTAAGGTTCCCGGCGACGACTGCCCGCTGGTGTGGGGCCAGTGCTCGCACTGCTTCCACATGCACTGCATCCTCAAGTGGCTGAACTCGCAGCAGGTGCAGCAGCACTGTCCCATGTGCCGCCAGGAGTGGAAGTTCCGGGAGTGACACCGGGCCCGGGGACACGGGGACAGGGGACACGGGGACAGGCCCGGCCCGCACCGGCCCCGCCGCCCCGCCTGCCTCAATAAACGCGCGGAGCCGCTCGCGTGTCCTGTCCGTGTGTGTGTTGTGTGTCCCGCGCTCGGTGCCGGGGCGGGAGGGCGGAATTGACCCGGGAGCGGCGGGGCCGGGGACGGGTGAGGCGGGAGCGCTCCCCGGCTGTACCGGCCCCGGTCCGGCGGGAGCGCTCCCCGGCTGTACCGGGCCCGGTCCGGCGGGAGCGCTCCCCGGCTGTACCGGCCCGGGCGAGGCGGGAGCGCTCCCCGGCTGTACCGGGCCCGGGCGAGGCGGGAGCGCTCCCCGGCTGTACCGGCCCCGGGCGAGGCGGGAGCGCTCCCCGGCTGTACCGGCCCCGGGCGAGGCGGGAGCGCTCCCCGGCTGTACCGGGCCCGGTCCGGCGTGCTGAGCGGGGCTGGCGCTGCTCTCCTGCCCGTCCCTCGAGCCCTGGCCCCGCCGTTCCCCGGCCTCCCCCGCTCCTCCACACGGGCCCGATCTCGCCGTGCCGCCGCCCAGCTCAGCCCATCCCTCCGGGTGAGTCCTGCGGCTGCCCCGAGGTCTTGGGCTTCTCCTCCCGGGACACCGGGCACGGTTTGTGTCCCACCGCAGGTACTGGCCCCTCACCCCGCGGCGCTCCGCAGCGAGCAGAGGAGCAGGGTGCCCCAGCAGGCATCGGGCAAGCCGGGGGCATCCCCTCTGTGCCAGCCAGAGCCGCTGGCACCGCCCCTGCTCCTTGTGACAGTGTCTCGGACAGGTCCTGCATGTGCTGGATGTGGCCACTGAGGCACAGAACTGCCAGGAGCTGCCAGGAACTGCCAGAACTGCCAGGAACTGCCAGGAGCCCGTGGCACTCGGGGTGAGGTGGATGTGACCGTGTTGTTGGATCCTGAGCTGCAGCTGCTGGCCCTGGAGTGACAATAAACACGATTGTGAGAGCTGTGTCGTGTCTGTCCTTGGATGGGGAGCATCCCAAGCCCTCCTCTCTCCACCTGCTTGGCCCGAGCAGCAATAAAATGCTTCTGTCATTTTTATTAACAGCAGTACATGCCTGTGTGTGAGGTGAGTCGGCAGTGTGCTCAGAGCTGTGCTCAGGGCAGGGGGGAGGTGTCTCCAGGACAATCTGCAGTGCCCGTGGGAGGGGGTCCCACACTCACAGAGGGCAGAGCTCAGGAAGGGCCCGACAGCTCCAGGTCMCGGCTGCTCTGGGTGAGGAGTGACWGTGGCAGTGTCACACACCCCCTCAGCATCTTTCTGCTACCAGGGCACACCAATGCACAACTCTTCAACATTTTATTAATGATCAGCAACAAAAGTTTACAGGAGAGGACACCAGAGCCAGCCTGGAAGGACCATCCAGCACAGTGCAGGGAGCTCTCAGGACATCCAGCACAGGATCCAGGAATGTAAGAGGCAAAGGGGGCTCAGAGCACCCTCCTCCCAGCCCTGGCCCCACAGAGGCAGGCATGCTGCGTGTCAGCCAGCAGAAAACACAAGAAAGCTTCATCTTGCCAGGTCCAGCCTCAGGTGAGCCTGGGGGCACAGGGTGGGCTCAGCATGATCCACTCAAGGCATCAGCACCTGCCTCCTGTGGAGAAATGCCTCACTCCAGAGGCCCCAGCCCCTGCAGCAGCTACCCCTGCATCTCCTGTCACCAGAGCAGTGAACGATTTGCCTTCATCCAGCTCAGCCCAGAGCAGCTCCGAGTCTGTGCAGGGGCTGGARCTGAGGAGAGGCACGCAGTGAACCCCAGCAGCACCTCGGGCAGCCAGCCCCTGCTCCTAAGGAAAGCAGGAGGAGCTGCAGGGGCTGTGTTTCACCCCAGGCTGCTCTTGCTGTCTGTCCAGGCACTCACAGCAGTGCCCAAGGGGCTGCTCTGGAAATCAGACCCCGCTCAGGGCAAAGCAGCCGCTCCCCTTCCCTCTAAGAGCCAGAAATGGCAGAATGTAAAAGCACATCAACATGTTAAAACATTAGTTATAATTAAAACCATTTTGTCAAATCTCCTGGGAAAGGGGACAGGGRCTGATTAACGGAAGTAAAACTAGGCAGCAGGATCCCAACTCGTTATGTCTGCACAATCAGTGCAGGAGGAGCTCGGAGAGCGAGGGCAGGACAGCAGATCCTGTGTGTGCCAGCAGTGCTGCTCCCTGCAGGCTCCGTTCCTCAGGAGCTGTCACTGTCCCGGGGCTGCAGCTCACACACCCACWCTGCAGCCTAATGCTTCTCCTCCTCCAGCCTCCTCATGGCCTCCAGCACAGCCAGCTCCTTGGCTTCTTTCTTCTGGTTGCGAGCTTCAAACTCCAGCCTGCAAAAACCACACAGGGCCATCAGATTCTCATCCATCCATCCCTCCTGTAGGCAAAAGCAGCTGGAGCAGGAGAGCACTGTCTGCTTTCTCCTCTCTGTTCTGAGAGCCCTTCAGACAGCCCCAGGATCCCCAGACTCTTCCAGAGCTTCTCCCAGAACTTCCCGTGGCTGTTGTCATCACTCTGCAGTCCTGGATTCCTACACTGATCCCACACTATTTCCTTCTCCCTCTGTGGAAGAAGCAGCTGTTCCATTTTGGGCTGTCCTGGGACAGACTGTGTAGTGTAACACCAAAATCAAATTTACCACTGATGTAAGCCAAGGTGCTGAAGGTGAAGGACTCAGGCCAAAAAGACCAAAGCTCTGAAAGAAGCAAATCGCTCTTTCCCCCAGGATACAGCAAGGAAATGCATCATTAATAAAGGAGAAAAATCAGTAAATGTGCTGCACAGCACCTTCTGACACAGCAGAGATCAGCTGCTCCTTTCCCTGTAGATTGGTACAACCACATTTACAGCCTGCCCAAGCCATCAAAGAGGAAGGAAAAGTTTTCTGACTCTGCCTTTGACAACCCCTTCTCCCCTTATCTGACCCCATTAATCCATCCCCAGACACTCTGGATGGAACAGTCTGTGACACAATTGGAAGACAAAGAAATCCAACCTGTTCTTGATGATTCTTTGCACAATTAGATCTGTGGTGAGATTACTGCCACTGTCCACCAGCTGGAAAATGCCACGCTGCTTTGGTTCCTGCAAAGAGACAGCACTGCTCTGTGGAACACGTGGGTCCTGGGTGTGCAGCTCCTGTGGTGCCCAGAMAGGCAGAGAGCAAAGCTCCACGCTCATGGGAGCTGCCCAGGACTGGCAGAGAGCAAAGCACACAGAACTTCCCACCCTGCTATTAAGGCATCAAAACAGGCAGAGCAAAACAATGCCTGGGAGAGCGGAGCTGTTGGGAATGATTTACTGACTCTGCTCCACACAGATACCCTCAGGGRAGGGTGAGAAGCTGCACCATGTGCCAAGGCCCTGCTCAGGTACCATCCTCTAATACACCTCAACTGGGAAACACAACCATTGCCAGGCTGCAGCTTTACCTCGTAGGGATCAGAACCGTCCTTGTCTGGCACCACCTCAGTCATCCCGTGACAAACAAGGGTTACCTGCAGAAGGACACACGAGTCACTGACACGATCCAGAAGGTGACAAGGACATTTCCTGCCACTTGTGCCACAGAGCACAGGCTGCAGAGCAGCAAAGCCTGACAGTGACTGTGGAGCTCCCTGAGACCCACTGAGGACACTCCCTCCTGCACCCCTGGGCTGTGCTGCACCACTTTCATTCCCCACACGAGCATCTTCATGTCCATCTGTATGCAAGGACTCACCCTGAAATGATCCAACAGATCAGCAGTGACAGCGTAGGGAGCTCCAATCACCACCTCTGAGACGTACTAAAAAAGGAACCAAGTGGAGTCCAGATTTGAAAAAAACCCATCAAACAAAAACCCAAAATCCCAAAATCCCAGGCCAGAAGCCAGCTGCTTCCTACAGAGACTTGAGCAGACTTCTGGCTATAGTCACAAGTTCAAATAAGGAAACAGGGAAGTGGGCTCAGCAGCAATGCTCGTCACACAGCAGCTTTTTGATTCCCCACTGACCATCTTTTCTGTACCTGTAGAGCAAATCCAAGAGTTAATTGCTCTGGGCTCCCATTTCTGGGACTCCCCACATTGTTGCCCCAGGGATTTTCACCCCCACTGCTGGGAGCAGTTTTCTACTGGCACATGTCTGTCTGCACAGAGCCCTACACGGCCTCCAGCCCCATCCCTGTCACAGCCAGAGGGTCCCCAGCCTGGAGCAGCCAGGATGGCACAGGAGACCATCCCAGGAGCTCTGCAGCACCTCAGGCAGCCTCAGTGCACAGCAAGGAACTCTTGCAAGATGAGCACAAGTGAAGAGCAGTGGGCTCCAGGCAATCTCTGGAAGAGCAGAGACCTGCACTCACCCTGCACGCCAGGACACTGAGAGTTCGCTCGTGGATGTTCATGATGGGATAGTTCTTCCCTTTGTAGCGATTCACCTCCTACAGCAAAGCACCACAACACTTACAAGAGAGACACAGCAACTCCTTTCCCTCTTGTTCTCTCCCAAAATGAAATTCCTGTGTTGGCCAATCCATCCCTGTCCTGTCTGCAGAGCACAGCCTGCCTGGTTCAGAGAACAGAGCCCAGCTGCTCTGCCTTTGGACAGACCTGGTCAAAATGCAGCCCAGCAATGATATAGGGCTTCTCTGCCAGCTGGTGAACCTTCTCCAGGAAATCCACATGCCCAACATCTGCACATCTCTTTAAGGAATTGAAGCTCACATGGAAAACAGAGAAAGGAAGACAGAAACAGTCACTGAAAACCAACAGCAGGAATCGCTAGGATTTTATTCTTGTGCTCCTAATTGCCTKTGTCCTAAGAACAGTTGCTGCCTCTGTTGTCAGGCTCCAGCTGGTTTTCAGCTCCACCTTACAGGTACTCAGCTTTGCCTCTTTCCAGAAGTTGTACCTGTTGCAGGTGCTCTGGCACAAAGCCTCAAAGGCTGCCCTGGGATGGAGCTCCAGATGCTCTGTGCATCCCTTGGTCTGTGAGTGCCARTCTTCACCACAATCATTAGAGTGTGAAAGTATCCAACTGTCTTCCTGAAAYCAAACAGCCACAGATCTCTCCACAGAGGAGCTGTAGCTTGTGACTWAGAAACTGCCAGGAAGAACTCACTCCTGAGTCCTCTCTCATGTGCAGCTACAGAAAAAAAAMARAMMAAAAAAAMCCCCGAGGCAAATATGCACTGGGGCCTCCCAACCTGAGACCATAAACAAAGATGAAGCTTCAAGCAGAGAGTCAAGGATACGGAACAGGTCGAAGGCTCCTGCCACATAGATGATGGTGTCCCCTGGCTGAGGCTCCTTCCCTGATGCAAACTGGATGATCTTCTGGGATGTCTGGAGGAACTGYGAGACCCCAGTCCAGGGACTGTGACCTTTGGGCCCCTGTGGAGACAAACAGCACACACAGCTCCTTGTCAGGCTCTGCTGGGCTTTGGACAGCACAGAGCACAGGGCTGGACAATGCACTCATCTGCATCTGCTGGCAACTCTAACAACTGCCAGCAGCTTGGACTTTCTACATTCCTGCACCAAACATTGGAGCAATTTCACAAAAGCCCTTTCTGCTCTGTCTGAATCATCCCCTCAGCAGCCAGGTCAGGAGATGACGAGAGGAAAGCTCAGGAAGAAGGAAGGCAACAGGGCAGGTTTGGGTTTCCATGAGAAGCAAGATGTGCTCGGGAGACAACACACAACCAAGGAATGCTCTGCCAAGGCTCAGGGCACCTCTGTCCCTCAGCTCTGAGCACAGAGCTCCATCCCAAAGAGCCCCTGAGTCACCTGCTGTCCCCCAGAGCTGCTCCAGGGCATTGGAGGACACAGCCACTGCAGCCAAGGCCAGGGCAGCACAAAGCCAGCTCAGCTGTTGGGGTCATGCAGGGTGCCCTGATCCATCCCCCTGCATGCACACCCCAGAAACAGCCAGGCTGGAGCCATGTGCCACACAGCACCCGCTCAAGAGACCCGAACACTGGGAACTAAGGACAATTCGGACAGGCCAACAAACCCCTGTGAGTGCAAAACACTTCCTCGGGCTGCTGGTGCACTCATTAACCAGGGAGAACCCAGCTCAGGATAAAACCAGGGCTGGTGGCTGTGAGAAGCAGAGAGAGCTGCACTGCCCTCGAGCTCTGAGCACAGTGGGGCCACGTTCCTGTTGTGTCAACCATCCCAAACCTAATGCACACCTCCAAAACAACACCAGCACTGGGAGGAGCGTCCGTGGAGGCTGTCCCTGGGCTGTCCCTGGGCACTGGGTGCCAAGGGAAGTGGCACAAAGGAACTGGCAAGCAAGGAAGGAAGGAAGGCAGCACAGTCTGTGTGGGGACAGCAGCCCCTGGTGCCACTGAAGGACAGCTCTGCCCTGCCCTGTGCCACAGCTGCCCCTCACAGCCACTGCAGGCACTGCCAGACAGGACAGCAGACATTCACTGAGACATCACTGCCACATGTGCAGGGACAAACCAGCCTGCAGCAGGCCAGAAAGCACACTGGGAATCCTTGCTAGGCAGGACAACAACCAGACGTCCAGAACCAGAACTCACATTACCTTCCCAAAGTTGTCAGTGTGTTTCCGATAGTCTAGGTCCTCATCCTGAAGGGAGATAAAGAGTCAAAATGTTTAAGCACTTGCACAGCTCATCCAACCAAGATCTGCTCGTGTGTGGGAAGTGCTGGGCAGGCTGGGCTCAAACACACCATGGATCCAGGCACTGAATGCAGCCAAACTGGTTAATGGCTAAGCCAGAGTCCTGGCCCAGCGTGAGTCAGAGGAAACRTGTCCTTATCTGATCCCGGCCTGGCACCACAGCCAGGGTGGTTCTTGCCCAACTGCAGCCCCGAGAGCTGCACAGCTCCATCCTCCCTCAGCCCAGGAGCCCCTGACACCACAGAATCCCTTCTCCTGCCAGGATCCTCACAGAGCCAGGCCTGCAGCAGTGGGCAGAGTGAACTCAGGWGCYACAGCTAAGCCAATTCAACAGCCCAGCACATTCAAACATCTCCCTCTGTCCCTGAATTTGCCAGTGGCTCACTTGTCCCTGCAGTTATCCAAGTAATTCTATTTACAGACTCCTTCATTCTTCAGTAAGTTCAATTCATTATGTGATATAAACCCATTTATTTTACTTTTCCCTGGTTAGGTTAGCTCCCAACCAGAAAGTGATCTGAGGAGACTCAAGAAAGGTCTGATCAGACTAGAGACAGCAGAAGGCAGAAGCTCAGTGGGAAGGGAGAGGAGTTTCCAAGTCTGGCAGCCCCTGGCTGACAGATCAACGTGCCTGCACTGTGTGGTTCACCCTGGGAGCAGCAATGGGCCTGCTGCAGCTCCCCACTGCTCCCCAGGCTGCACTGATCATAAATCATCACAGTCTGGTCCCACCAGGCTGGGCCCTGGACACGCTGAAGCAAACACAAGCAGRTTGTTTTGCTGCCACTGCCACTCTCCATGTACCCAGCAGCTCCACTCCTCAGTGCCCCTCTGCCCAGGGCAGCAGAACAGCAGAGCTCCCGTGCCCTGCAGCCTCCCCCCAGAGCCCCTGACTCACGATGTTGCTGTGGTGAGCCTTTGTCATCAGCAGCATGCGGCCAACAAGGTCAGTGGTGGACACCCCCTGAGTGCGTTTGCATTCCCTGCAGGAGACAAGCAAAGGGTGAAGGAGACACAGCAGCAAACGCCTCTGCCTTGCCCCCACTGCTGCAGGAAGGGCTGTGACACCTGACAAATCCAAACAGGGACCATCCCAAGGAATCCTTCCTTCTCAAGTACAGCATTCATTGCTGAACCTCTGCATTGTCCTCACACCACAGCAACTGCTGGTGAAGAACAATCCCTCAGCCAGGCTTCAAACACAGCAACTCCCAGTGAGGCTTTACAACTAAAATCAGCATCTGCCAGAGCCAGACAGCCCCACTGGGCAGGACTGTGCCCCATTTCCCTGAAGCCAAAATACGGGAGCAAATGAAACTCTGACACATACAGTCAAATTCAGGTGTGACCTGAAGCTAGGTGTGTTTCACCTGACTTCCCTTTAGGGCACAACTTCCCAGAAACTCTGCCCAAAACAAGAGAAACAGGWGAGGAGCAGCAGGTTACCTGTATCGCCCTGCTGTCTTCACTTCCTCATAGGTGTCCTTGCCATCGATAGTCAAGGTGATGTCATCTGCAAAGACAGAAAAGCCTCAGAACTGTACCCAACTCTGGCCCACTGCTGGGTGCTCTGCAGCAGCAGGAATAGCTGATTATTGTCTGACAATAAACAAGCACTATTCCTCTCCATGTTAAAAAGCACCTAGGACTGGTTTTAGCCATTGGTTCATGTTACAAGTTTTCAGTCAATGAAATAGTTCATACAACTCAAATCAAAGTGATGGTACTTCCCCAGTGACATCCAGCAATCCTTCCACAGAGGCAATTCCAGTTCTCCTCTGGCACACGGCTTCCAACTCCTTYTGCASAAACATCTCCACCTACTTTTCATGATGGTACAAAGCCTTCATGAGCAAAAGCTGAGCTGGTTTCCCTTTGCCAAAGCAGTAAGAGGGCAGGCCAGGAGGTGCCCCCACAGTCAGGGGCTCAGCCCTGCTCAGTTCTCCTAAACCCCCACCCATCCCTCAGAGCACAGGACAGGAGAGCACACAGTGCAACACAGCTCAGCATGCCAGCAGGGCTGCTGTCACCTTCCCAGGTAAGCTCAGCTATTTCCAAACTCAGCTTTTGCACAAACACAACCTGGCCAAACTGCAGGGACATTGCTCAGGAGAAGCACAGAAAGTGTGGAGAGGCAATGAACGCGGGCAGGAGGAGGAGCAGAGGCCACAGGAACTCYTGAACTGTCACAACCCCTCACCAAGGCCCATAAAGTGTCATTTATGGCAAACACGTTCAGGGCAGGCAATGAAGTTAACTGCGAATTTGATAACTACACCATCAACGCAAAAAAAAAAAAATTATCTTCTAAAGATTAAGGATTTATCTACATTTAGTGCTTATCAATAGCTCCAAGGCAGCTGGGATCAGATGAGAGATACACGAAATGAGTGCAAAGACTACTCCTGGTCAAACTAACAAAATTCCTCCCGAGGGGTGGGGAGGAAGGGGTGAGGTTTAATGAGCACCGGCAGCAGCCCAGGAAGGGACAGAGTCCCACACAAGAATGTTTCCTCAGAACGTGGGTTCTCTCCAGCAACTGCACACCAAACAGTGCTCACAGTAAGAACTAGGGCTCTGGCCACACGGTCAGCTGAGCCACTGAACAGCTTATCAGCTGGATAAGGAGAGAAGATTTTCAGATCTAACCTCGTCCTAGGATAAGGAGATATAAACACGATGGTATTTCTGCATGCTTAGCTTTTCAATAGCATTTTTCATACTTAAGTTTTGTAAATGGCTTTTCCCTTTGCACAAATTTCTGCTGATSCTAAGGGCAACCTCAGCATAATTTCAAACAACACATTTCACCTTTGTAAATTAAAACCAGCAGCCCAAGCCACTCTCAAGATTCTGAGCCCACTGACACGCCTCTCCAGACCACCAGACCAAGAGCAGCCCTGGCATTGGAAAGCACATCTGTAACAGAGCATCCCAGTGCAGGTGTTGAGAAGGCACATCTGTAACAGAACACCCCAGTGCAGGTGTTGAGAAGGCACATCTGTACAGAGAACACCCCAGTGCAGGTGTTGAGAAGGCACATCTGTAACAGAGCATCCCTGACACCCCAGTGCAGGTGTTGAGAAGGCAGAGCTCTGCACACACCAGGCATTTCTGACACCCACAGCAGCTGGGACACTGCTCCATTTGCAGCAGGACACGTGGAGAGCCCACGTTAGCACAGCCCTGGCTCAAACACCACAGGATACACAAACACCACTCACCCCCGTGCACGCAGAAGTCACAGCTGTATTTGTCCAGCGTTTCCAGCGTGGTGACATAAGGAGCTCCAGGAGCAATCTCATCCACCCACTTGATGGCTTGCACCATTTTGTACCTCTCCTCCTGTGTAAAGACAGGAGGGCCCTTGTGCTTGGCAATTTCCTCTGAGGGAGAAACAAAAATCCAGTCAGAAGCACGTCCTGCAGCTACAATGATCTCAGCCACAGCTGCCTCACTTATTTCACGAGCAGGTGAACACTGCAGGCTTATCCTCAGCTTGGGATCAGGCCATGGTGGCAAAGAAAGTCCCAGACAGATCAGAAAATATTTTGATTTACCTTCATTCCTTAAGCATGTAAGAAGGGCCTTGGAACTTAAAAGACAAAAGGTCCCAGTGCTTCCCAGSACCCAGATATTCTTCCTGAGAGGATGAGCTGGGCTTCCTGGTATCACCCCAGGGGAAATTTCCCTCTTAAACAATAACTTTATACTATCCTTGGTTCATACTACAAATTCTGCATTCATAAACACATTTAAAATACATCTTCACCTTGCTTCTGGTACTTAACTTCCAAATGGGCTTGAAATGACTTTTCTCTACATGGTCACTTGCTTTGGAACGTAAATTCTTCAGCTCCTACCAGCAAAACCAGACTGATTTTCAGCTGTTTCAACTGTTTTTATAGCACAGAATGTAGATCAACCCTCAGAGCCTGCAAGATCTGACCTGCCTAATCCTCAGTCCAAAAGTGTGACAGGGGTAAGTAACTCCACTTCCGCACAAGGGATATTTTTCTTTTGGAGGCTACTGCTGCTGGAGTAGATGCAGGGAGAAACCTGAGCCTAGCAGGAGCTGTCAGTTCTCCTGGGGCTACCGGTGCTGAGCAATTGGAGGGGCTACACGAGATGAAACGTGGAACAGCTCTTACCATCCGTGTGGACCCCAACGATCAGGTAATCGCCCATGGCCCGCGCCTGGCGCAGCTGGTTCGAGTGGCCATAGTGCACCATGTCATAGCTGCAAAGAGAAACCCGCCTCAGCCCGGGACACTTTCCTGGAAGCGGCGGGCAGTGTGCCGCAGCCTCGGGCTGAAGGTGCCGGTCCAGCCCGGTCACCGGGCCCGCAGCAGCGTTCGGTTCTCTGCAGAGCCCGGTCCCGGTGCTGCGGGATCGGACCGGCCCTGACCCGCCCGCAGGTGCCGCCTGTACCGGGGACAGCCCGGTCCCGGTGCTGCGGGGTCGGACCGGCCCTGACCCGCCCGCAGGTGCCGCCTGTACCGGGGACAGCCCGGTCCCGGTGCTGCGGGGTCGGACCGGCCCTGACCCGCCCGCAGGTGCCGCCTGTACCGGGGACAGCCCGGTCCCGGTGCTGCGGGATCGGACCGGCCCTGACCCGCCCGGCAGGTGCCGCCTGTACCGGGGACACCCCGGCCCCACCGAGCCCCGCGGGCTGGCGGAGCAGCCCCGTTCACGGTGCTCGCCCGGCGCTCCGGGCAGCTCCGCGCAGGGCCCGGGCCCGTCCCGCCGCGGTGACAGAGGAGGCGGAGGCACAGCGCAGCCGACACGCTTTATTTCCGCGGCCGCGCCGCGTCCCGGCCCCGCGCCCGCCGCACTCACCATCCGTCGCACCAGACGCGCACGGGCCGGTGGCCGCCGCCCGCCGCAGCCCCGCCGCCTCCCGCCGCCCCGTTGCGCAGCATGGCCGCGCTGTCACCGGCCCGGCCCGCCCCGCCCCGCGCTCAGCGGCTCTTCCTGCGCCGGCAGCCCTTAGCGCAGCCGCGGCCGAACCACCCCCCCGAGCGCCCGGCCGCCGCCTCCTCCCGCTGCCGGGGCTCCTCCCGGGGCTCCTCTCGCTCCTCCTCCCGCTCCCGGGGCTCCTCCCGGGGCCGGGGCTCCTCCCGGGGCTGCTCCCGCGGCGGCTCCACCGGTTTCCGCGAGTGCGTGCCCTCCTCGCCGGGGCGCAGCGGCTCTGCCAGCGCGAAGATGGGGTCCCGCGCCCTGCGGAGGGACAGAGGCGGCGGTGGCTGCAGCAGCCCCGGCCCGGGGCTCCCCTCCCGCCGCACAGCGCCCAAGCGCTCACCGCTCGTAGCGCGGGATTTCCAGCCCCAGCTCCGCCATCAGCAGCCGCATCACATCATCGCAGCGCCCGTGCAGCTTCAGGGCCGCCAGGTCGTCCTTCGGGGTCCACTGCGAGCGACAGCAGAGSCGGCTGCAGGCGGCACCGGGGCTCCTGCCCGGGGCCGGACAGGGACTCGGTCCCACGGATCTGCGGCCCCTCGGCTCCCACCTGGCAAAGCCGGGGCCAAGGGCTCGCTCTCACCTGCAGGTTTACGATATACAGCTTGGGCCGGCGCGGGGGGGGCTTGCTCATGCACCAGAGCCGTGGGTATTTTTTCAAAACCTGCCACAAAGCACAGACTTTCAGCACAGCCACAGGCACGTGCAACTGTGAACCGTATCAGCGAGAGGAAAAGGAATGTATTACCAGGAGGGGAAAGAGGGAGGAAGAGAGACTATCACAGATGTTGGGCGAATCCTGACACCAGAGTTTACAGTTGTCTGTTTGGGAGGAGACTGCTCAGCACCAAGGTGTATCACCAAGAGGGAATGCTGCTAACAATCTTCACCGAGTCTCTAAAGTTACCTTTAAGCTGGAACCCAGACAAAGAATCACATCTGCTTTGCTTGCAGCTTCTGTTGCTGCTTCCCAGTTCAGGGGCTGTCTCAATGTCCCCTTCTCCCCAAAGTGGACGATTGTATCTCTCAACTGTGCCCCACACTTGTGGCACATCCTGCCCGTGTGATGCCTGTGCAGGGCTGTGCGCTCCGTCACATCAAACACTCGCACATACTCTCTGTTGGGTGTGCAGGAAGTGCAGACCTGGTGCAGGACAAAAGCACAAACTGTCACATCAGCAGCATCCCACCCGTGAGAGACCAGCAGCGAGCCACTTCTCTTGGAAGAAAAGCATTTTTGGGSACAACATGGAAGTTGTAAAAGGAAGCATCAGAAATCAGATGCTAACTTTGAAAACCTCAAGTTTTTTTGAAAATCAGCAAGTGGAGCCACAGGCAACCCTTGGCTACTGCTGGGAGGGATTTCAGAGAAGGGCTGAGGAAGAGAAGTCAGAAGAAAAAGACTCCAACAAGTGCAGAGCAAGTGCTAAAGAGCTGGGTTTGGTACTTGCTAAGTAGCTCACTCCAAGCCTGACAGCCTGAAGACAGGAACTGCWCAGAGGCCAACCCATTGTGCTGCTTCCTCCTGAGCTAGTGGCAGATCAACAGTTCCCACTCTCCTTTTGTAAGGCCACTTAAGGGTGACCTTTCTGTACTCTGGACATTTACCTCAATGTACATGTTGCCATGAAGCTCAGAGATTGCAGCTCGGGGTAAGCCGCTCCGCAGGTGGAGCCCATCACAGTTCTGAGACACCACATGCTGCACCTTCAAGGGAACAAAACACAGAGTTCACACACACCCCACAGGGGCTGCTCCAAACAGGCCCTGCCCTGTCCCAAATCACACCAACAACCTGGACATARGAGCAGGAGCCACAGGGAACGGCGTGGTGAACAGACCTTTGTGAAAGGGAAATGGAAAGCCTCCTCCTGCTAAACAGAGCTTTTCTAGGGCTGGCTGATTTGAGCGTGACCAGTTCCCAGATCAGCCTCACCAGATACAAACACAGCTTGTTAAAGAAAAGGCACCAGGGGAGAARCTGCCAGAGCTGCAGCCTGCAGCTCACTAGGGAAGGCCTGGACACATTTTCCTACATGGATATATGTCCATTTGAGCCAAACACACAGTCAACTCAATCTCCTGAAAAGCTTTCTCTTTCCTGCTGCATTTATCATTCTAAGGTAGAGGAACATGAGTGAGGTAAGGAAAAAATATCTTACCAGGTTGTGCTTGTGCAGGCAGGCAATGCTCATATGAGTGAGCGTRGGCTCTGCCTCACTCAGGTCTGCAGCCCTGACAAGAAACAAGGGGGGAGAAACAAAGTTGGAATTGCCATTAACCCCTTCCAGTATCAGCTTTCTGTCTCACAGCTTAAAATTTGGCTCCTCACCTGATGCTCCTGCCCTTCTGCAGCAGTGTCCAAATGCCGTTGGGGCCTCTGTAGTCTGGGATCGAAGCTGCCTGTGAGCAGGAGAGAAAACCAGGACTGATGTGGGGGTGTCACAGCTCTTGTACAAACACAACCCACCCAGGACAACCACAGACACCTCCACCCATGGCTGCTTTTACATTCACTCTGAGTTTCCCAGCACAGTTGTTCCCTAAACACAGGGAAACCTACCTATATCCTCTCTCTCTCTCTCTCTCTCTCTCCTACCTTACAGCTCTCATTTTCATGTCCAGTGTTAGTTTTCTCCAATTTCACCATTATAAAATCCTTTAAGAACTCTTTTTCACCCTTGGTACTTCCCATTTCCCTCCACAGAACTCCATTCTTGATTCTTTTGTTATTTTCCCTGGTCTGTGGTTTCTGGTGCCCCATCCTCAGCAGCTTTAGCAAACATGCAGGTGACACGAGCACTCAGCCCCTGCCCTCAGCCACGCTCTGTGTCAGCAGAGACTGCAGTGACAGTGCTCACACAAAGGTGATGTATGTCAGAAGAGGCAGAACCAGAGTGCAGTTTTGTCCCAGGCCATTGCAACAAAACAATTCCAAATGCTTCTTTGTAAGTCCCAATAATCCCCAGCTGTCCCTGCATTTCCAATAACACACAGGAGTGACCCAGGATGCAGCCTGCAAACTCTGCTGGCCACAGGATTCACGCAGCATCCTGGGCTTGTCACACATGTCCTGTGGYCACTCAGTCACCACGGGACAGTGCAGACAGCAGCGTCCCTGAAGGGGCTGTGCCTGCTCCCCACACGCACCGTGCTGATCCCAGCGCCCGTGTAGATGACGAGGTGCCTGGCACTCCGCACAGCTGCTGCCAGCTCAGCTGCYTTTCTCTTCAACTCCTCTGGTTCATCACACACCTGAAAAACACATCTGAGCAGGTTCACACAAACAGCAGGGACCTCCCTGAAAGTCTGAAAATGGGCTTGGGTCAACCAGGAAAAGCAACACAAACATTATCAACAGTGGTTTCCAAATGAAAAGGACACGGGCGTTGTTCACGTCAATGTCATGGGAAAAGCTTCCCGGAGAGCAGGAGCTGTTGATCCGCCCTCTYGGGAGACAGCTCAGAGACAGCGCAGGGCAGCCCCGGATGGCAGTACCGGGGTACAGCGGTGTTCACGGAGGCGTGCCGCAGCTGCAGAGCTCGGCACAGCCAGCCCGGGCCCGCTCCGCTCCCCGCTCCCCGCTCCCCGTTCCCCGCTCCCCGTTCCCCGCTCCCCGCTCCCCGTTATCACTCCCACGGCCTCCCCGTTATCGCCCCCACGGCTCCCTGGAGCTGCCGCCCACCTCCTCCTGCCGGCGGCGCAGCCGCTCCCGCCGCTTGCGGCGCCGCTCCAGCTCCCGGACGATGTCCTCGCTCTCGCTCAGCACCTGGCACTCCTCGGGGCTCCGCTCCGCCGGCGGTTTCCTCCAGATGCGGGACACCTGAGCAGCGCACACGCGCGGTCACGGCGGCCCGTGGCGGCGGGGCGGAACGGGYGGGGCCGCGTTGTCCCGTACCTGTCTCCGGCGGTCCCGCTGCTCCTCCTGCTGCAGGATCTCGGCGCGCGCCGCCGCTTTGCGCTCGGAGCGGCTCAGACTGCCGCCCGCCGCCATCGCCCCGGAACCGCCGCGCCCCCGCCGCCACCGGCTCCGGCTCCGCCGCTTCCGCCTTCCGCCCCGAGCGGCGCCGCTTCCGGCAGCGCCCGCGCGGCAGCGCCCCCTGCGGCCGGGCGGACCCCAAGGAGGCGCAGGCGGCGGTGTTGAAGCGTTTATTGTCACAGGCGTACAAAGGCGGCGGACACGGTACAGAATAAATAACGGCAATAACTTAGCAATAAATACCGCCCGCGCCCAGCCCGGAGCCCTCTGGGCGAGCCTCGCCTCCGCCCGGGAACGACTGTACACAATTCACAAGATACACAAATCCCGGGGTGCCGGGGACGCTCCCAACCCCCGGAACGGCACCAGGAAAAGGAGAAAGGAAACACCACACCCTTCACAGCGGGAAACCAAACGGACCAGCACCTCAAGAACAAGAATTGTGACACTCCAGAAAACTATATACGAGAGAGAGGTTGGTGTGACGGCTGGGGGAACGGGCACAGGAAGGCAGCTGGCAGCACACAGGATCCCCGGCAGGATGGACACTGCGGAAATACCTGCGAGTCCTACACTTGAGCGACACCAAAACCACCGGGGAGCAACCCTGTGAGAGAGCCGTGACCCCACTGACCCCACACGGGCACCTGCAGAGCCTGTTTACCTCAGTGGCACCTTTCAGTCACCGCCTGGCACTGCTGCTCCCTGCAAAACTGTCCTCACTGAGCACACAGATCACCTGCTGCTCCGTACAGAGCCTGTCCTTGCTGAGGAAACAGGTCCTTACTGCTCCCTGTCCTCACTGAGCACACAGATCACCTACTGCTCCTTCACTGAGCACACAGGGCCATTGCTGCTCCCT